TCTATCTATCATCTATCTATCTATCTATCTATCTATCTATCTATCTATCTATCTATCTATCTATCTATAAAAATGATATAAAGACATTTTTCCCTTCTATATGTCAATGTCACTGTATCATTGTAATACATATTGTACAGACCCTGGAAGACTGTTTACATCTATGTTAATATACATATCCATGTTTATGTCTATGTTTATATCTATATCTCTGTCTAGACAGGCACCGACGTATACATACATACCAATTAATTCTCTGCCACCACATAAATGTATGGACCAATGTTACATTAAAAAAAATAATTTCCATTGCTCTCTTTGCAATTGATCTCCTGAGAACATCAGTTTATTGACTTCCTATTTCTTATTAACTGTTCTCTATTATTTAAGTCAGGTCTCAACAACATAATGTAGCATTTGGGGAAGAAGATGCAGCTCAGTAACCCAGCACTGGAACTGAGAATAGAGAAAATCTCCACAGCCACCATGTACTTTCCCTTGGTACTTAAGTAGGTTGGAACAAAAGACAACCAAACGCTACAGAAGACCAGCATGCTGAAGGTGATGAACTTGGCTTCATTGAAGCTATCAGGTAACTTCCTTGCTAAGAAGGCCACTGTAAAGCTGACCATGGCCAGGAAGCCCATAAAGCCCAGGACACAATAGAACATGCGAGCTGAGCCTTCATTACATCCAAGTACAATTGCTTTGGTCACTGAATGCATATCAAAATCTGGGAAGGGGGGAAAGGCTGACAACCAGACAGTGCAAATAGTGGTTTGAATAAAGGAGCAAGAAAGAACAATAAAGTTAGCCAATCTCTTTCCCACCCATTTCCTCATCTTGGAGCTGGGCTTGGTGGCCAGAAAAGCTAAAACCACTGTGATGGTTTTAGCAAGCACACAAGAAATAGCCACTGAGAAGATAATATTGAAAGAAGTTTGCCGAAGAAGACAGGTGGCCTTCTGAGATCTGCCAATGAATAGCAAAGTGCAAAGGAAAGAGAGAAGGAGGGAAATAAGAAGAATGTAGGTGAGGTTCCGGTTGTTGGCTTTGACAATAGGAGTGTTCCTACATTTAATGAAAATTAGAAGCACTAAAATTGTGATGAATGACAAGCAAAGAGCAAGAACAGTTAAAATGATCCCCAGTGGTTCTTCATAGGATAAGAAAGTTATATCTTTTGGGATACAGGAATCTTGGAAACTGTTTGGATATTGATCTTCTGGGCACTCAAAACAATTAGTCATATCTGAAAAAGAAAACTTGGTTTATACTCATATTGAGGATTGATTGATTGATTTTCCTAAAGAGTATTGGATAATTCCAAACCTACAGGTCACTTTTATAACAACTAAACAGCATTATGAAGATAAGACACTACTTTCCAATAAATTTGGAATAAAGTATTGGAATATTCCTTGGTAAGAAATAAGTTGATTATGGTTTTATGTGTGGGTGTGTGTTTTACTATTTATTTATTAAATTTATATGCTGCCCATCTCCCCCAAAGGGTGACTCTGGGCAGCT